ATTATTATTATTATTATTATTATTATTATTATTATTATTATTATTATTATTATTATTATTATTATTATTATTATTACTATTGTTTGCCTTTGCTTTGGTGTTAACTACTATTATTAATTTTAACTTTTTCTCTTAATGCAGATCCAGAATAGTTTTTGATTAGCCTGATTTACTTCTGGATGATTATAGTATTTTTTTAATAGCTATATATTAATTAGTGCTACTAGGACTTTCTTATATATTGTTTGTAGCTTATATACATTATGATGCAAATGATCATACACAAAAAAGAGGTTTTTCTATTTTGGCTTCAATTTTTTGCTCTTATAACTATTTTTTGTAGCATAATATAATAGTACTTTATCTTCTATATACAATACTAGGAGTAGACAAAGCTTCTTATTAAATCTTTCTTTTCTTTTAAGCTAAATATAGTGAACTTGTACTACTATGTTGTTCTGAATACTAGGTAGGTGCCTCAACAAAATTGTTATTTTTTCTATTATGGTTTCTAGTTTTCTCATACTAGTAGGCTAAACAGGTTGTCAAGCTTCTTGACTGTATATGAGAAAAATTAGTATAAGCTTGGTTGTAAAATATTTAGTAGTCCAGTATACAAATAGTATAGCAAGAATTATCAGGTACTACTCAGTGATTTATCTTATTAATTTGGCAATTGCTTTATACAATATTTTGTTGAAACATTCAACTAGCACATTGGTCTAGAGGTGGTATAGGGTTAATTTTTGGTGCCTAATTTCAAATTTTTTTAACAATTTTCTACTAGATTATTTAAGAAATATTTGTCTTAATTAGATAGTATCTTCTCTAAGTACCTATGGCAATATATAATTTCATTGAATATGAAGTCAGCTACAGTTTGGACATCTGCTAATTCAAAAGCTTGTGCCTTGGGCTACTTCATCATATTATTAATAGCAACTATAATATACTAATTGTTTTGTGGTATAATTGACAATAAACCCATAATATTAATTCCAATTTGGTGAAATAGTAAGGTAACTAGTATTGGGTAAAGTGATCCTTTTAGTCTGTTCTTTCCCTATCTCTGGTACTAGTTACAGATTTTGACATAGTTACTAATATCTTCAAATTGATAAGGTTAGAAGTAAGATTTTATTATCTTCTAAAACATATTTTGATCATTAAATATCCTTTTAATAGGTGGGTATAGATTATAAATAGAATGAGCTCTACTTCTGACTTTTAAGTAATCCTTATTAATTTGTTCAAGTTTGACTTTTTCTTGTATAGTATATCTTCTTTAAGCACTAAAGTTTTACTTTGCTAGATTAATTTCATTTATTCTATAGGATCTAAGCTTGGTGAAATATATTGGTACTAAAGATACTTCTTCAATTAATTATAATTGAGGTCTTTTATAATAGTGTTTGTGAGTTTGTAATTAAATTCATTATATTTTTGGGAGTCAGATACTGACAATCTGGGCTGGATCAAGCTTATTATTAGATTACAATACTTTAGTAAGCTTGGTATATATTCTTATATTACTTGTTTTAAACTATGCTACTAGTTTTTGATTAATTTTTTTATCAATTTTATTTCAATTTAGATAAAGCCCACTACCTGCTTTATCTTATTCTAACTAACTAGATATTGTTAGATTTGTTTTAATATTTTATTTATTCTAACTATTCTATTTATTCTATCTTTTTGTTTTGTTATAATTATTATTTTTTGTTATAATTATAATTTTTTTGTTATAATAATTATTTTTTTGTTATAATTATTAATTTTTTGTTATAATTATTATTTTTTTGTTATGATTATTATTTTTTTGTTATTATTATTATTTTTTTATTATAATTATAATTATTATTTTTTGTTATAATTATTATTTTTATTTAACAAATTTTCTACTATTATTAATGTTCTTTGTTTTCTGTGGTATTAAAACTTTCTTCAACTTATTTTTTCTAGAAAAAAGACTAGGGCTATTGGTTTTAATAATAGTATAGTCTTCATTTTTCTTTATTTTAGTAAACTTGGATTTAACTTTCTCCCTAAGATAAGTATTTTGTAACTAATAAGTGCTTCAAGATCTACTTTTTGCAAAATTATACTATATTAGATTTTTATTATATCTAGCCTACTGGCATATCTTTTTTTATTATATAAGTCAAAGCAGATGTAATAGTTGGAATCTGGTAAATATTTGGCATCATTTGGTTTTTCATCATTTGGTTCTTTAGGATTGAGCTCTTCAGTTCATCTATCTCTATTTTATTATTAGAAATGGTGACAAATACTTTATACTTATCCTCTTGATACTACCAATTTGTCTAGACTGTATGACCAGAGGTTGCAACCAAAAATCATTCTTCTGCCTCTATTTTTTATTAATTATCAATTACAAAAACTTCTTCAAGGTCTAGGGCTGCTGAACCTTTTTCTTGAGGTAGCATATTATGTAGTTACTGGAGTGGCTGAATAGGTTTTTGTTTTTTCTGATTTCATTGTAGAGGTCTTGAACTAATTTTCTATACTCTTTCTTTTTGTTAAAGAGTTCATTATTCTAGACAAAATTCTTATATTTATCTAGATTCTACTAGGCTTCTCTAGTTCTATGTTGTAGGTTGTAAAGATATACTAAATTATTTATTTCTTTATTGAAGTCATTGTAGTAACTTTTACACTATATTTGTCATAATTATCATTTTAATCTATAGAAGTACTTATAATTTAGTATATTTTTACTTCATTACTAGTTTCTTGAGGTAGTTGTTTATATTTTGTAAATGCTTTGAACTATTCCAAGGAGGTTTGAGCTTGGCTATTATTCCTTTATTGTAGTTGTCATTTGTTAATAATTCTTCTTTCTTAATTTTAGTTTTGGGTTATCTTGATAAAGTATTGGCATTACTATAAGTCTTGCCAAAATAATACTTGATAGTATAATTATAGTGTTAGAGCTAAAGAATTTATTAAGCTTTTCTGTCTTTAAGCTTAAAAGTCTGTAACCATTTCAGAGCTGAATAGTTTTTTACTATTATAAACAGCTTGAACTCAAAGTAGTGGTAGTAGCTACACTATAGTAAGACACTTTTAATCAGTAGTGAAGTAGTTTCTTTTAGCTCTGTAAAAATTTCAACTTGTATAAGAGATTACATACTTCTTTTTGTTTTTTCATTTTTGGGTTAGAATTGCACTCAACCCTGTCTCAGACTATCAGTATAAAGAAAAAAAGTTTGGTCAAAATCAGGGTATTACAGTATCAGGGTGTTAGTATAATATTTTTTGAGAGTTTCAAAAACCTAATTTTGTTCTTGACTCTACTTATATTAAGCATTCTTCTGTAACAACTGTTGGAGTGATTAGGCATAAAAGTAAACTCTTTTATGAATCTTTGGTAACAGGATGCCAAGCTTATAAATACTCTTGGTTGTTAGATAGTTTTTGGCACAGGAAAAGTCTGCACTTTATCTATTTTAACTTCATCAGGTTAGATTTTATTTCTTTTAATTATATAGCCAAGAAAGTACATTTTTAGTTGGAAAAACTTGTATTTTATTATATTAATTTTTTGTCTAGCCTCTTTTAACTTTTGGAATATCTTTTCTAAATATTCTAGATATTTTGGAGTATATATTAATGTCATCTATATATACTATAGCAAATTTTTCCAGGTATTTGGACAACACTTTGTCTATTAATCTTTGAAAAGTGATAGAATATTGCTTAGCCTAAATAGTATGATATTAAATTCAAAGAGTCCCACCTTGGTTATGAATATAGTTTTCTCTTTATTATTTTTATCCATTCTTACTTGCTAATAGCTGCTTTTTAGATCTAAACTCAAAAACCACCTTGCATTTCTAATTTTTTTAGAAAGTTGTTGATTTGGAGGAGTAAAGTGGCATCTTTTTACATAACTATATTTAACCTATAGTAATTGATTTAAAACTATAATTTTTCAACTTTCTTGAATATTACAATAACTGAAAAGGCCTAGAGGCTACTAAAAAGTTGAATTAGCCCCTTTACTTTTATCTCTTTTAGCTTTCTTTCTACAAATATTTGTTTGTTAAGACAGTATATTAGGGTTCTGTTTTACAGGCTAGGCATCTCTAGTATTGATTTGGTGTATTAATATTGTTATTTCACGTTTATATATGATTGCATGACAGTTTTTACGACTTATAATCACTAGTTTAATCAGTAAAGAAAACCAATTTTCTAGTAACCCATGTATTTCCCTGGCAACGCTTGTTATTTTCTCAGCAATACTTGTTATTTTCCTGTGTGTACTTTAAATTCTCTTAGATGAAAAAAGAATACTATTTAGATCGACAGTATTAAGTTAAGCAAATCGCTCAATAAAATTAATATCGTATTTTATTATAAAATCTTAAAAATACATTTAAGAATATATAATCGTAATATTGACACTAATATTTTTACAGTTATTAATGTCAATTTGGGGCATTACACTATTATTTAAAGGCTTGTTACGATCTTTATTATTACTTTCTTGTAATGCAGGGCTTGTTTGTTTTGAGGAAGTGCAATATAGAATTTTAAAAGGTTTAGACCAGTCGTGTGGAGTTTTGAGAACCTTGCACTTTTTTCTAGAATTATAAGAATTCGATTCTATATTTGATGGTAACGGAGCTAAGGGAATTCTTTCTATATTTAAAAAAAAAAATTCTCAATTTTTTAATTTATTTTATTAAAAAAAAAAAAAAATTCTTACTTTTTTTATTTGCATCCTTATTTTTATTGCCATCATCATGACTTTCTTCCTTATTACCATAATCTTTATCATGGCTTTCTTTCTGATTACCAGAATATTCTTTATTGTGATCTTCTTTCTTATTGTTATTGTTGAATTCAGAAGAATTGTGATCTGGAATAATTAAAGACACCATATTATGCATTACTTGTGGCATAAAAGTTTGGTAAAACATTACACTATTAAGAGTACGATGTCCTGAAAAAGGCATTATATGATCGGTAGCAATATTTAATTCAGTAAGGATCTGAATAGCAATATGGCATAATGAATAGTTTGTGATTTTCCTTAAATACATTGATATTCCTGTGACTTTACAAATTTCACGAATCATATTTTCATAAGAGTACCATCCAAGAGAATTATCAACAAACCAAATACCACGCAAATTGTCTAAATAAATTAAAATTTAATAGTATAATTTTATAGTTAACAAAAATAACAATGCAATTAAGATACCTTTTTTGCAAGCTATTTGTAAAAAAAATTCTTGTGTAATAAAACCAGAAGGATGTTTATTAATGTAATAAAGAATATCTGCAACAGGAGTAAATTTGCCATCTTGATCAGGTGGAATTTCACATTTACATCCTGTATTATCAAGATTTTTAATGCCCCTGGTATTATTTTTTTCTCGTGGAATAATTACTTGTAACCCTGATACTTTGTAACAATAACATGTGTTATTTTAAGTCGTTGTGCATCACCACCATGAAATCCACAGAGTAAGCAAAGCCAAAAGTAAACCCTTTTGGTTAAAGCTTGAGGAGAATCATCACACAATTCATCATGATTTAAAATATGATAAACTTCTTCAAATGAAAGTGAATCAGATTTATCAGCAGATTGAGGATTAAGATCTTGAGTCTTTTTGATTTTACCATCTAATGACTTTATTAATTAACCATAACAAGTTTCATCAAACAAGTTAGGATATGGATGCATTAATGAATTGTCTTTCAAATAATGAGCAATCGCACAATAACAATTATAAATAGATTTTGGAGAATAAGGTTCTTTATCCTTGTGACATAAACCCAAAAAAACTGGATCAATTCTTGTTCTAATTGCATCGTATCAAGAATCATAGTTATATCATAATCCAAATTAGCTGAAGATCGATACTCTTTTAAAACTTGACCCAATTATCAGTATTCTTCTTGGTATTTATAACAGCACCATATTCAACCATTTCATCAATAGTATCTTTAGTTATAGCTTCAAATTGATCAACTAATTTAGTGTTAGGCATGTTATTGATAAAAATATCATGTGATACAGCATCAGCTACGTCAAGTAAGTCTTGTGTGATGTTAACACTATTAACTAACTTGGAAACCTTAAAAAATATTAACCCTTATCGTTCTTTATTAATTATGTGTATATCAAATATTTAAAACAAATAATAAATAAAAAAATGCACCGGTAAGAAATCTTTAAACAAATTATCATCTATTTTAAAAAGGTGGGTACGATAAAAAAAAAAGAATGCTAAAAAAAAAAGACTAATGAAAAAAAAGTTTATTTATATAAGTCATAAAACATCGTCATAACTTCATATAAAATGAAGAATATCAATCTTATTTCCCACTGTGGGGAAATAAACTGATAAATCTCAATTAGCCAGGGGCCCTTCGGGCTCCTGGCTGATTGGGGATTTATCTCTTATTCCCGCCCTGCAGAAAATAAATAGTACATATTTTACCTAATTCTTTCATGTCTTGGATAAAAAGTCTTTTCTTTTAGTAGAAAAATTATCTGGCTTGATCTTGTTTCTGGTTGCCTAAGTATCCTTTTTGCACAAATTCTTTGAGAAGTTTATTAATAGTTTGCTTCAAGAGTTCTTTATTTTGGGTTGGTATTTTTTTTATTGCAGTTAAGTATATAGCAGGTTTTTTAGTTTCTACTTATAGATTATTATACAATCCAATTTTTTTGGTGGCTAATTTTTCAGTATAGTTCCTTTAATTTTATTTAATACTTTGTCTTCATAGATGAATTCATCAAACATATTGCTATTATAACTTTTCACATCTACAAAATTATGCCTTAGAGATTTGAGAATATCATTGCCAGTATTAGAAATGAGTATTTTAATAGTTTGGGCTTGGTGCCTTAAATATAACTAATATTTATCAAAGTGTTGTTAGGCTTGAGCTTTCAGAAACTAATCAGTTTTCAGGAGAAGTGTTTTATCTGATAATTTGATAACTTGGAAGATGTTAAGTATAATAGCATTTTGGATTACTTTGCTTATGTTGTTAATTCAATCTAGAGTCTGTGTTTTTGCTCTAGTAACTGTGACAATTAGTGTTCAAAATTTCAGACTTAAACACTGTTCTTATAATAACAGAATTATTGATATAAGTGTTTTTAAAATATTATTTATGTTCTCACTTATGCCCACTAAAAAAAAAAAAAAATAAAATAAAAAAAAACTATCTGATATAATGCTAAATATGAAGCCTAGCTTTAATAAGTAGCTATAATAAATTAGATAGACATTTTTATTAGTTTAGTAGTTTGGCATAATATCATATAGCTAACCATTATATACTTATAAGAACAATATTATTATTTTACTATTTTCAAAAAATTTTTCATAGTAAATAGTAAAAAATTTATATTGTTTACAAACTTATAATTGTGTTCTCATGAGAACTCTGAGAACACAAATTTTGAACACTGGTAACTATAACTGTTGTTAACTTTTCTTGAATTTTCAGCTCTAATTTGACAAGCAGCCTCTTTGTTATTATACTAATAGCAGCCCCAAAGTCTAATATAGCTATAACAAGGTTGTTTTTAATTCATATATAACATCGTGTAGTAGTAGTTTGTCTTAATTTGGCTAGCTTAATGTTGAATTGGGTTCAACATAGAACCTTGGCTAGATTTTAGTATTGGTTTAGATATTAAAGTATTTGATTAATAGTAGCATTTGCTAGTATGCTAATATGTCTTTTACTATATTGTAGAGGCCAATTTATTGATTATAGATGGGTTCTTTTTTCTCTTAAGTTTCTTTACCAAAATATACACATTTTTATTTATTAGTTTAAGTTCTTTCTTAAGAGTTATCAGTAGGTTACTATCTCTTTATCAGGGCCTCAATTGATCTTTCCAAATTACTTCAGATTGGGTTTAGATTCTATTTTCCTAGTAGTTGCTGCTGCTAAATTATAATTAAGATCATATTTTCTTAAGAACATATACTTTGTCCTCTGCTCATCCTTCTTTGTCAATATCATATACATTAAGCTACTGTATATAGTTTGTTGCTTACTATTCTTCAGAGTATCTTCTTGATTTCCTTTCTAATAGATAATAATAGGCAATATATCACAATTTTCTATATTTAAAACAGATGATGTCTTGTTTTACTTCTTTGAACTCCTTTTTTTATAGTTTGTTAGATTAGTATGTTCTTTGTTTTTTATCATTATAAGTACTTTAGCATTAAATTGCATCAAAGGTTTCATTGAGTTGTTTTGAGGTTAAAGTAGTATAGTTTAGAGCAATTTGCTCTATCTTATGCAACAAGTTCTCTATCTCTTCTTTAATTCTCTTCTGGTGGGTTTTTTTAGATGTTTGCTTACTATAATATTTCTAGCTTTAGCTTTTCTTGCCTTTGCAATTGCTTTGTTTAAGTCTTTTGATTCAGCTATAGTTACAAAAGTGGTAGCTTTTCCTCATAGTTCTGAGAAAAATATTCATATAATATATTGGTTAGTATTTTATTATCTGAGTCAACTATTTTTAATAGCTTCTTAATATGGTAGTATATGCATTAACCTTTTTATGATTTTGCTACTTGAATTCTTGAAGCTTGATTTGCTATCTGTAGCATCTTTCTAGCATTGTGAAGAATTCAATAAAACTGTAGTAGAAGCTGAATTTTTCCTCTTTATTATTTTTCCATTCCCTTAGGTCATTTTTTTTTTCATTATACCAATCTTATTCAAATATCCTGAGGTGATTCTCAGCATCCTTCTTTTTATCTAATTATTTGCTGCTATGGCTCTCTCAAATGCCTCAAGCTAACTATCAGGTCCTTATTATTACTTCTATGAAATGGGTTGACCTTTACATGAGTCAATTCTCTTTTGTCTTCTGGATCTCTTCTATCATTTGCTATAGTATTGGTAATTTCAGCAAAGGAGTAAGTTAATCTGTCTAAGAGCTCCTTTAGTTGGTCTCTGTCCATCTTAAAAATTCTAGAAATGTACTTCTTGTTGCTCTAGAGCTTATTCAAAACTTTAAATCAGGGGAGTAGCCAACATTATATATCTCACAGTCACTACCAAATTGTTAGCTCCGAAGTTGGTAAGTCTGTTGCTTGAGTGGGGTTAGCTTAGTATAGCCAAAGATTAGATCATATTAAGTCAATAGAGGCATGTTAGATTTGGTAAGTAGTTAGTCAATAAATGTGGTTTATACAATATGTAACTTAGGTGTTTTATTATTATATTAGTTGGGAACTAACAAATAACAAAATGATAATGACATAGTAGTCATTTAAGTTTATTAGATTGCTAGTTTAAGTATTGTTAGAGATAGACTTATTATTATTATGTAAATGTAATAAAGCAAAGGTGTAAGTTATTCTTCCCAAGGGCCAAAAGACCTTTATTTATAATTGATGATTCTATTGTTTACATGTGCAGGAATTCTCCATATACCAAAAATTACTAATAAAGCCCAAATTGGCCCTATTGCCACTATTATTAAAATCTGCCTTATTACTGCAATTATCCTTATTGTTCATATCCTCTAGATTTCCTCAATATTCTAGATCTGGAATATCAGTGAAATTGAGGAAATTAGCCCAATTGAGAAAATCAAAAAAATTGGGTTGGGAATAGGGATGGGTTCGGTTGGTCACGGTTAGTTACGGTTAGTCATTACCGGTTATTGATGGTCAACCAGTTAACTGCGATCGGTTATATAAGGTTAAATGACCAGTCATAACTGATCGATTATTTAATCAATTATTTAGATTTTTGCTCTGTAAACCCTTCTTCAACTTTTAATAAAGTAGTAGAGGAAGAAATTTTAGCTATAATTATGGTTAAAAAATCAATATTGACCCAGTTGATAATGAGAAATGAGAATTTTAATTCTCACGACTATACATTTCTTTTTTTGTTTACTTAAATAAGATCGCAAAAATTAAAATATTCATATCTCATAATATATTGGGTTAATTTTAGCAGTTTATTATTATAATAATCGGAATTTCTTCTTCTACAACTTTAATTAGAAGTAGGGAGAGATTTACTTAGTAAAAATCGAGTGACATTTTCAAAACAACCTAATCCTGGTCAAATTTGTAGATCATTTGACCTATTGGAGATGATTTAAAACTCA